CGGCGCGCGCCGACCGCGAACCTGCCGCCGTGCGCGGCCCGCCGGGCGCCGCGGCCTGCGGGCGGCCGCTGGTTGGCGGCGGGGGGACACGTGAGGGAGGAGGGGGCAGCGGCGGCGGCAGGAGTTTCCCCGACAGCTGGAGGTTGCGGCGGTGGCTCCTCCTCCGCGGGTCCCCGTTAGAGGCGAGAGACCCCCGCGCTCCTCCTTATTGACAAATACACAAAGGGCCGCGCCGGGGCCGGGCCGGGGACGCGTCTGGAGGCGGCATGGGAGACAAGAAGAGCCCGACCAGGTAGGGCAGCGCCGCCGCCTTCCCGGGGCCCGCTCGGGTGCGCGGGGCCGGCGGCGATGGCGCCCGGGGGGGCCGGTGTCGGGCGGCGCGCCCCGCGCTGCCCCGCGTGCTGTGTCTCCGCAGGCCGAAGCGGCAGCCGAAACCCTCCTCGGACGAGGGCTACTGGGACTGCAGCGTCTGCACCTTCCGCAACAGCGCCGAGGCCTTCAAGTGCATGATGTGCGACGTGAGGAAGGGCACCTCCACACGGTGAGTCCCCGCCGCCGGCCCCCGGTTCGCGAGGCGGCGGCCCTGACGGCGGCGGGGCCGCGTTCGGCGGGGGAAGCCGAGCCGGGCCGGGGGGTTCCTCCCCCCTCTCCCCCCCGCGCTCCCAGCTAACCGTGCCCCGGGCGGAACTGCGGCGTCCCACGAGGACCCGTTCTCTGCGAGCCGTCAGAAGGCGCACGGTGACCCACCTGGTTGCTGCCCCTCCTGACGTGCCGCGCGGTGCGGCGCCGGGGCAGCGGGGGCTTTATACAGCCAGCGGGAGTGCTGGCCGGGAGAGCGTTATTGAAGGATCCTTTGTTAGGGTGTCGAGCTTATGGCTTTGTACTGTCAGCCGGAGAAGTTTGAGTGGCAATAAAAGTTGCGATCCTATGGTGAGCGGCAATTGCGTTTTAGACAGCATTCAAAACAGCGCTGAATATGACTTGCAACGAGTGTTACACGTTTGAATTTGTAAGTGCAGATGCGTGGTGAGAACGATGCGTCTCTATTGCTGAAGTTGATTTCCTGGAGTTCTGCTAACTGGAACGCGTGTCGGAAGTACTCTCGTAACTTCAGCTTCGAATATGTATATATGTATCATAAATAAGGCAATCAGTGAGGTAAATGTGCTGAGAGGAATTGCATCTGTCACGTACGGCGTGCTTTCCAGCGATGAGCGTGGCGTTCTGTTGTATCGCAGGTAGATGTGCTCTGACTGGTAACATTCAGCAAAATAAAGGGATGAATGTAAGCTCAGGAAAGCAGCACGGCTGAAGGCTGCAGCCATCCTCAGCCTCCGGGCAGTTTGATAGACAGAGTGACTTCAAAATTATGTTCCACTGACCCGGAAACTCAGTTGGATGGAAGCACTAAGACCAAACAAACAAAACAAGCAGTCCTCAGATACCTATGTCACCATTGCTTTTTCCCCCCTCCTTCTTGAATATTTTAGAGGTTTTGAACTATGACACATTTGAACGTATTTTAGGAACAGTGATTTTTTCTTTCCGCTTTCTCCCTCACAGTGTTCTGAGATGCAGAGTTTTAGCTGATACCTTCATTTTTATTTCTCTGCTTAAACTCCAAAACGATGCGTGGCTGACAGGGTTTGTGGATGTAATTTTCCCATTCGGTTTAAATGGATCGTGTGTTCATGCGGGTGCAAGATCTGGGATGCAGGGAGAGGTTTTAGACCAGACAGTTTTAGGTCCAGCTCTGAGCTGAGATGTGAACTGGTAAGTAGACCTTTGTATCGATGGAGAGAGGAATCCTTAGGGTGCCAAGGAGACACAAAAGGCAGTTTGGGTGGATTTATTTATTTATTTAAAGGAAGTGAAGTCCAAGACACCAAATTGGGGCCCTATTAAGCCATTTACTCATACCACCCTTAGAATTAGACATTTTTCTCAGTGTTGTTCAGAATAACAATACCATGGAGTTCTGATGGCACTGAGAATGTTGAGCTTTTTGTCTTCCATTTTGAATCTTAATGTTTGTATGGATGAAGCCGATGCCTCGGCACAGTTCTTAAGTGTGCATTGATTCTTATTCCAAATTTTGCTTTTTTTTTTTTAATTAATGAAATCTATGTCTACTAGACATAGTAATGCCTCTGTGATGTAAGCAGTGATGTAAATCACCTTTTTTTAGTTCAGAGAAATCTGTTTCTTTGTGATGAACTGTTTGATGTCTGCTTCTGAGTGTTAAAATTCGCTAAATGTGAACAGATTTGCAGATGGAACACCAGGCAATCACAGTCAAGTGTAATGCTTTTGAAGGCCACTGGAAATTAGGTTAAGTTGATTAAAACTCGCAGGTTTTTATACTAATTGTGTACAGTTAATTTCACAGAATCATACTCAGGTGCAGACTCAGATTTATGTGTGTTTTCACTGTTGAACCATTTTTCTCTCTCCAGAAGAATTACCTTTTATGCTAAGGGCTGGGTATGGATTATGATCTTTAAAACCGGTAGCACTGTTAAGATTAGTGGGAATAATTCTTACAATTCCTCAATCATATTTTATTATACTTCTAAAGGGAACTCTCAGTTATGGACTTGAATTAACTTTTTCCATGGTAGTGTCACCGTGGATGATTAAACTGTGTTGTTCTTGGATAGGGGACATCCAAGAGAAATCCTGCGTGCAGCAAGAAGAGGCGTAACAGGCTCCCAAGGTGGCACTCTTTTCTTTGGGTTTGTAATGAACCAGTGCCCAGCATGGAGCCAGTTAGATGTGCTGTGAGTCAGATGGAAAGCTGACATCCTATCTGCTGGTTGGAAATCCCTGTATGTTTTACTGGAGAACTGTTGCTCTACTGAGGATCTAAATTTTCCTGTAGACATGGCTTTCTTATTTACTTTCTAGCCTAAATTGTTCTGTATCGTTGCTTGGGTACTGATAAATTACTGTGTTCCTCTTGATAGGAGGCTGTGCTGAGTATAGTAATTTTCTATATGTGACCTTTAAAGCATTTTGAAGTCTTTCTAGGTGAAAGATGTTGTACAAATGTAAGGAACCTAGAGCTGTAATAATCCTTCATTTCTTGGACAAATCTCCTGCTGAAGTTCATTAGAGGTATGAGTAAGGAAAGCTGAATAGAACTCTAACACGCTGTGTTGAAGAGGGCACTGGTAACCGTCTCTATATTTAGGTTGCCTAATAGTTTCCATTAAAAAGAATTTGTATGATCTCTTTGTGAAGCCCTATTGTTTGCAAAAGCCATTGAAGTTTGGCAAGAGGAAGAGTCCTCAGACTGAATAAGTGGTTTGATTTCTCTGCCCCATGAAATTAAGTTTTCCTGAGACATAAACACTTGAAAATCATCATTTCCCCTCTGTCACTTGTGTTGTACAGAAAAGTAAAGTAATTGCTGGAACACTGAGAAAGCCCAGACCTCTGCAAAAGCACCAGTGGCAATGATATTGTGCTGAAAAGCCAGAAATGAATTATTTGGCTCCCAAGGAGGTTATAGCGGGGTTGCTGAATTTGGTCCAGCCCTTACAGCTGCTGCTTTCCCAAAAGAAAGCTGTTTTAGTGGGCTTGCTATCATTCCATTTCCTTCTGTGCTTCATGGCACTGTCTGAAACAGGAGCACTCCGGTACTGGTTAAGTTTCAAGAGCTGGGCTGGGTCCTTGGACAAACCATATTGCAGCAAGTGTTAGCTCCCAGTTTGTCTGTTCTTCAGTAAGATGGTTTTTGTTTTTCTTGCCCAGCTAACATGCTTAGTTCTTGTCATTTAGGCATGTTGCAAGTACCAAAGGTTCAGAATTCCAGACTTACTGGGAAGCAGCAGTTAAGAGGATTTGCATTCTCTGTAAGGGGATGTACATCTCGTGCCTTCTAAGAGGCTGAAATACCTCTCCATCACATCTCTGCTCCTTCTTTCTCATATCCTATTAACGCACTTGTTACTCAGTGGCAGCATCCAGATCTAAACTTACCTGTCATATTGCTTTCCTTAGTTTGATTGCTGTGCATGTATATTGTGATCTGGTCTCTGCTTGCATGATCCCATTCTTTTTTCTATGCCATGACAAAGTGCTTGTCCATTCAGTGTAAAGGAGGAGCATCCAGGGGAGTGTGAGGGGTGCCACAGGAGGAACTGCAAATCTGGCTTTTTAACCTTTGAAATGCTTAATGTGATACTCTGCTGTGCACATGAAGGAAAACAGGGGAGTAGGGTACATGATCAGTTTTCTCTTTCTAAACTAAACTAAAACTAAAATAAAATTGTGTGATTTTTTAATTTTATTTTTAATTAGGAAAAAGAGCAGACTACCAGGAGATATTTTTACTAATTTACTAATTCCCTGTACTACTAAAAGGAGAAGGATTGCTATACAAAGATAGAGCTACTTAATGCTTGTTATCCTTTTATTTCATTTTATTTTTAAAGCTACTTTTTCTTGCTTGCTTTGAGTCCAGTAAAACTTCATAGCCTTAACTATGAATCTGTGATTCTAGTATACATGGTTTTGAAGTATTTTTCTTTTGATGAGGAGGAAGAGAGAGAGAATAAGGAGATAAAACAGGTACAAGTGACTTCTGTGGAGTGATTTTTTTTTCCTAGATATTCTTCTGTGATACACATGTTGGTCCAGCTGCTATATACATCGTTTATGTAAAATAACCTCTGGAATTTGCAGCCAGAATGAAGTCATCTCAGGTCAAGGTGAATTTCTGTGGAATCAGGATGCCTGCATTTAACGCCTTGTGCTTCTGAAGCAGAGACATATATAACAGCTGAATAGGGCATGGCTTCCACATCCTGAGCTCTATTGATCTCCCTTACTGAATCGTTTTCTCAGCCTAACATACAAAAAGCCAGCTTTAAATCACGACAGACAAAAGAGTTAATCTGAGATAGAAAGAACTCGAATGCCATCTTTGTATGCCTTCTTGATATTTGTGCACGCTCCTTCATTGTGCCTTAGAGTGTGACCATTCTATACGTGCATTTTCCGTGTCTGACAATCTCCTAACTATGAAATACAGGTCTTTACTTGAAGCTGTCATTAGTTTGTTTTACGCCTTGAGAAGCATAAATAAAGTGCTTAATTTTTAAACTTGGATATCAAGGTCATTTTTCTTCGGGAAATATGTGCAATTTGTTTAGTCATGTACCATCTGGATGTTTATAAGCACAAATCAGTTACATTTAACCAAATCTGGTATTTGTATTTCTGTTGAAATGCCGTGCTGCTCAGGACGAGGAATTGGTTCTTATCTGGTGTATCTGGTTTAACATGTCTGTTTTACAACAGCTTGTTAAGGACTCTCCTCTGCCTTCCAGCATGCAGCCTCAGTGCGTACGCGCATGCGCATGTCACGGGGAAGGTTGTGAAGGAGAAAAAGAGGAAGAGCCGCCTGTCGTGCTGATTTTACAAATACACGACTGAATCGAGCTTAAACTGGAGAGCGTTTCGTTACTTGTGGTGGTTAGAGAAGAAAATATTTGCAGCTGTGAAGTGAGTGAAAAAGTCCTACGTAATCCATGC